CAGACTGCTTGCTTATCAGGGATAAACCACAGAACATATGGAATGTTTGATAAAATTGCTATATAAGCTGACTGAAATTTTATCTTGGTGGAGGGGCATTTTGTAGGGTGCAGACCCTCTGCTCTCCCCACTAGCAAAAATAAAGGTGCTTTGGCTTACAGTCTGTCTGTGAGTGAATTCTTTTGAATCACTACCACTTTCTCTCACAACAAATACTGAAAAATATGCTAAAGTATATGTTTACAATGTATTTAGATGTGTTCAATAATGAGAAATATAAACATCATAAGCATGTATCATAACAAATCCAAACAATGTATGAAGTCTTGCTTATTTACCAAACATACGAATTAGTTTTCCTCATTTATCACTTGCTTTAAAAAGATAATTCTTTGCAGTTGTACAAAATTGTATTATGTATTAATTAAATTAAGCTTGAGAGAGATTATCACAAAAATTACAAAGTACTACTTGATAAATAATGTAACAATTCTGGGTCACTGTGAATTCTGGGTCACCATGAATCTTAAATCCTGATAGATATAAAATAGGTAGCAAGAATCCCAGTTCACAAAACAAAGGTTCAGTGAAAAAACACCATAGGAAGAGGTTAGTTGAATACTTTGAAGTAAAAAAAAAGTTAAAAAATGTGTCACCTTATTGTCTTTCTGGTTTCTGTGGTTTGTGATATTTGCCAAGCATTCAACCACAACTCCCTGGCTTGCACCAAGTGGTTTCCCACCCAGGTACAAAGCAGCTGCAGATCCCTTTGATTCTGAAATCAGATGATACATAATACATTAGCAATACAGATTTAGAGCAGATTATTAGTTACAAAATAAAAGACATTTATAAGGGAGGGTTGCATAAGGCTCCATCCTTAAGGAAGAAACTTGAGTGCTTGCTCCAGATATTACCTCAGTATTCCTTGAGGAAAGCAAATTTAGAAAAGCAAAATATTTAGTCTAAGCATATCATTAGAGTTTAATTTAAATAACTAGATATTACTATTTTACTTGCCAGAAATTACTCTAGTGATCCATTTCTTCAAGCGTTTAAGTGCTAAATTTTGTGGTGACTAAATTTTAGATGCTAAGAGATCAAAGACAGGAGAACTGCGTCATTAAAGTTTCTTAATAGACCATGCAAAGAGAGGCACCTGCAGAAGATTCAGAGACAAAACCTAATTTACACACGTGGAAAGAGCTTTAGTATTATTTACAACCCATAGAGAAAATATGTCTCTGATAGTAATAGGTGAGAAAAACTGTGGAAGTAGCAGAAATTCACCTAGTACTTCTTTCTAAAAAAATTGTGATCCTCAGGTGAAAGTCTTAAAATATCTAGTCATATTTTTAAAAACTTTCATTATATAATTATTAATATAGTTAATATCTTAAAATATTTTAAATGCAATGTAATCAAATCAGCTCTAAAAATACACATTATTCCCAGCAGATGGCAGCATCAACATGTAGAACAGAATACAGTAGTTTAACATCAGTGTCCATGAGTGAGCATTAAATATGGAAGAACTGTCTATTCTGGAACTGGAACCCCCTATTCAAAGGAAACAGATCTTCTTCCATATATGTGGAACCGAGTTTCTAGCTCTGTTAGATCCTGGGAATCCAGACTGTTAAGTCTCAGACAGTATCACCATAAAACGTCAACTTTTTCCAAAAGAGCAATCCACTAAACTGGTATCTAAAAGTTCTGATCTATCTCTCAAACTAGAAATTTCTGTGAAACCTCAGGAAGCCTGGTTCCCACTGTTGCAGAGGCGTTCCTAAGGCTGTATCCCTGCTTCAGGTGGGTCATGCTGAATAGAGAACTTTCTCTACCATGGAGTTCAACTTTGGGCCTATCATTTACCCAGATTCTGGCAATTCAGTTCCTGGTACCGAGCTTCACAGACTTTAAACTGAGTGTTCCTGGTGTCTCATAGTGGACCTTTGTGTTCCAGGAGATAGACCTTCATCCTTGCATTCTTTTCAGTGCTGCAGACCAAATCTAGAGAACTAAAGACCACAGATAGTTAAGTTTTCTTTTGTAGTCTCAAAGAAGTCGTATAGTTCAAAGAATTCCAAGGGTATTTTCTTTGCTTACCTTTCTTTCTTAGTCGGGACAATCTGTGTTTTTACCTTTATTACTTCTGGTTCATCAGACTTTTCCACAAGCCAAGGCTACACTGACTGACTCTTCTCAACAGAAATAAAAGAGCAAACAGGTTGCTAAGGATTGTCAAAAAGGTATGAAACTGCCACAGCAGATTCCTGACTTCCCGCTCAGATGCCTCATCACTCACTCTTCTCCCAGATCGTGAGATCCAAAGTGTTCATACCTCAGATTCAGAGGAGCTGGAACTCACCCAGCATCTGCAGTTTTCTCCTTATTTTGCCATCCCCTCATTACCTGACACATCCGAGACATGAGTGTTCTGTGATCCCTTAAACATCCAATATAAAAATGACACAGCTGTGAACTGTCTCATTAGTGGAAGCACTACATGTGCAACAGTGGGTGACCTCAGAAATCAGGAGCAATTTTCTGTGTAAGAATCATGCAGAGCCTGTGTGTAGGGCACAGCTGCAGTATGCGTGCCAGGTCACTGCTGCAACTTCTCACACTCCTTTCTGCCGACACCAGGATTACTTACCATGGTGATCACTTTGCCATATTTCTTATATTAATTTTCCTCTTGACTTTGCATTCATCATTTTACATTTTACCCATCCTTTTTGGTACATTTTATTGTCCATGCCCACCCCCTACCACAATCAAAAGTCATTCTTTCAAAAGCAGTGGCATTTTAAAAGTGCTAGAACTGAAACAATCTAACCAAATCCAGAATGATAGTAGTATTCTTAAACTGCAAGTCTTATTCCTTAAGGTGATTTTTAAAAACCCCATTACTAAGCTTTATTAAATCAAATCAGTAGCTAAGTGCATGTCAATCACAAAGCAGAACTAGAATACCTGCCCTGCAGCATGTTGAACATGATACTAAGTGGGTTGCTAAAGGATAATAAACAAATGTAACTAAATATTCTGAGATTTGCTGGTTGGTGGATTTTTACATACCCCAAAATTCATCATCGCATTGTTGGAATAATATATATTTAGCAGAGATGTGAGCCACAAGGAATCAGGAGAGAGAAACTGAAGGCAGGATATTAATTTTTTCTTCCACCTAGTTACTAAATTAATTATAAAATACAAACACTGGGTAATGTGTTTAATTGAGTGAAGTGACTTGTTTCTTCATTACTATTTTGTGTCTAGCAAATTCAATCCAAATATGCAACACTTCCACAAGAACAAAAAATATAAGCATTGGTCACATATGTTAAGCATCACTGTGTGCACCATTGAAATGTTTTTGTAGTCTTGCACAACCAACCAAACCAAATAAAAATCGAAACGGTTTAATGTAATTTATTTGAAATGCTTCCAGAGAAGTTTAAGCCTATTAATTTTTTTTAAAAAAAGGTCAATACACACATTCATTCTTTCTTCTTTATCTGAACACTTTACATGCCTTTTGCTGCTCTTAAACATTTTGCTGAACAGGTTTTATGAAAATGGTTCACACCATCTAATATGCTCTCTGGGCCTTTTCTTTTGAAATCTTTTCCTTTCTCTCATCTTCACTGGCATAACTCATCCCGCTCTTAAGAATGAAGCAGTTGAAATAAATTACAAAGCCTGAAACAGAAAATTGACTTTTTTGAAGAACTTATATAAATACAGAAATATGTTCTATAGGGTAAAAATGCCTTTTTTTAAAAATAAAAATACCTTGGTTTATATTGTTTATCATCTCATCACATTGATTTCTGTAATGCACATCAGCATATATATAGGTAATATAGGTAAGACACTTGACATAGTAAATTTTCTGTAAACCTGTAGAACATGAGAAAAATGGTTTTTGGCAATAAATTAGCAGTTTTTCTACTTTTGTTGGTACTAGTACTTTGCACAGGTTATCTTGTTTAATATCAAAGATCATTTAAATTCATTAAAATATCATTTTCATAGCTTGCCATTCAGCACTGGCATTATTTCTTATACTAAGAAATAAAATATTACCCAGGGATTCCTGAAAAGCAACAGGATGTTGAACTGAGTGCTTTAGATTGCATTTAAGTGACTCATCTGCCTCTCATCATAATGAGTAGAATAAATCAGCCACCAGAAAACAAAGTAACATTTCCAATTACAGCATGAGATTAAATGCAACAAAAACTTTTAAAACAAATCTTGAGAAAAAAATATAAAGGATGTAATACATCCTAAAGGAAAAGCAATTCCCTTTTTGTTTAAACTTTCTCTACATAATCCCACAGGGTATTTGTAGAGCACCATTTATATAAAATCATCACTTAGTTTAAAAATCAACTACATGTAATTGTAAACAACCATTTACAGAAAATTAAATGTTTTAACATTAGTGGTGTTTAAAACCAACAGTGGAGGTCAGTGGAGTGCAAAATGCTGAAGAGGGCCTATTCACAAGCAAAAGGTTTTTCCATTCTTATCCTGTTGGGGATTATATATATATATATATATCTGTATATATATATATATATGGCACTGAAAGCAAACCACCAGCTTATTTACAAATATCCAGTATTCTCAGCATTTCACTTAATTCAGTGCTGGCTGTAGAGGTTTGGTTGGGTTTGGTTGGGGTTTTTTCAGTTTATTATTCTCAGCATTATCTGCTTTGATAAATAAACCATAGCACTATGCTGACCACTTTAACTGACCGGATTTTAGTTAAGTTTGGTTGCTGGATCTTAGGACAGTGCTTCATTTTGAAAAAGTAATCCCTAAAGAGTCACTGGTTAAACATCACGCCATTTACTCTTCTTGTTAATACTGCAAGAGTTCTGATAGGTTTGCAAGATGTTTTTCTTTTTTTCCAATAAACTACTTTCTCCTTTCATGCCTTTATAAAAGCTTATGATCTTGATACCCATCCTAAAACTGTGTATTAAGTCCACATCTTCAGCTGCCCAATTAAAGGGTAAATAAAGTTCTTTAAAAATTATGAAACAATTCTTTATGCAATGCACATATAAACAGTAGTTTAGATATTCTATTTACAGCAGGACATTGAGAATAACTGGTCAAGTACCTCTTTCATTCACCTTAGATGTTTATGGAATATAATCACAGGAAATGAGTTGCAGGAGATTCCAGCTTATACAGATCAGCAGTTACAGTACTACACTTACAGGTACGAACACAAGAAAGACTGCATTGACATTTTCACAAAAAATATTTTAAAAGTGCTTCTCCAAATAGTTCCATGTGTGGAATGCAAATACTGTACAGGTTAGAGACAGATTTTCTTCCATGAACTGGAAGTTTTTGTCAAACATTGGTTTCTATTTGCTTTTCATTTTCACAAGAGTTTGTCTGTTCCATACGTTCACAGTCGATGCTGATCTCACTGGTGTCCATGCTACAGTCTGACTCAGAGTCTGATTGGTCCATTTGCTCGAGCTTGGTTTCTCCCTGGGGTACTCTGCTTCCATTTGGTGACAAAAGAAAATGTGCTTCTGAGTTCAGCATGCCAGCTTTGCCTGCACACGTAACTTTCTCTTTGGCCTGGCGGATACAATTAAGCCACTGTTGTTTGTTGAAGGAGTCATTGGCTTGGAGTGAGTGAGTCTGGCTTTGAGATCCATTTTTGAAGCTGACTCTAAAGAAGTTTTTGACTGAAAGAAACAATACAAATCAAAACACTGAATGCTTTGGCTGAAGGGATTTTTATAATCAAAGAGTTGTATATTTAAATAACAGAATCTGCAAAATCTTTTGACTTGAGCTGTTTTCCTGCCAATACTATGTGAAGAGCAGAGAGAAGAGTCTGGATAGCTCCTTGTTTTGTGGGGCAAGAACATAGAACACCAAAAGCACTTCTAATAATTTCTTATTGTGGGATTAAACAATTTTGGTTCTGCCATGCATGAGCTACCCATAAAGCTTTCACTGAATCAGCAGGACTAAGGCTTCTCCCACACTTCAACACCTCCCCTTCTACTTCACTGAATACTGTGCCTTGTGTCAGCCAGAGACTCCCTCAACTCTCAAAACCCTCCAAGTTTTCACAAGGTAAGTGCAATTCAAAGCAATTAAAAGGACCCTTGTAATAGAAACAAGTATCTTTATGTGTTGGGTTTGTGTCTGGGGGGGGAGGCGGTTTTTTTGGTAGTGGGGAAGGGCCACCTTGTGAGAGCGAAAAGCTCCCCTGGCTCCAAGGCGGAGACCCCCAGCCCAGGCTGGGCCAGTGGGCACTAGAGAAATGCCTCTGCAAATCCATATTGGTGAGGGGAAGGACTGTCCTGAAAAGAAGTAGGTGGGGAACCTGGAGGAGAGGCCATAGACCTAACAAAAGACGATCATCGGCCTAAACAAAGGACAGACAGAGAGAGCTTTGTTACCAGAAGAAAGGAGGAGCAAGGGAAAGGACAAAGGACCTCAAGACACCGAATTCAACCACATGGAGCAGAAGACAAAGGAAGACCCTGCAGCCCATGGAGATTAAATGGCAGAGCAGACCCACGTGTAGGCCATGGAAGACTCCACGCTGGAGCAGAGAAGCTGAGCCTGAGGGCAAGTGTGACTGGAAATGAGACCCCAAGAGTCGCTCGCTGCCAGAGCGGGTGGACCCCCAGAGTAGGGGATGAGTCTGCAGCCCATGGATGTCCCCATGCCGGGGCCAGGAGCTGAGCTCGAAGAGGTCCGTGACTCCATGGGAAGCTGCTTTGGAACATCTTGTTCCTGGACTTCTGTGCTGAGAAGAGCAGCAGAGGTGAACTGACTGAACCCCCATTCCCTGCCCCCTGTGCCGCTGCAGGGGGAAGGTAGAGACATTGGGAGCAAAGTGATTTGAGCTCAGGAAGAAGGGATGGGTGGGGGAAGGTGTTGTAAGATGTGGTTGTTAGGTCTAATTAGATGAATGGCAACGAATTAAATTGATTTTTCTTCCCCAAGTTTGAGTCTGTTTTGCCTGTGACCATAACTGGTGAGTGAGCCATCCCTGTCCTTCATCCTAATCCTGTATCCCCATTGTTGTGACTCCCATCCCATCTCACTGGGCGGGGGGAGTGAATGCAGGACCACATGATCCCACTGTGGGTCAAACCACCACACTTTAATTAGAAGGACATTAATTCTTACCTCTTGACATTAACATGAATAGCTGCAGTCTTAACACTGAACACTACATTAATTATCTGTCAGTTGAAAGACTTAGTTATGGAATAGCAATCACTGTCTCCATAATACAAGGATAGAAATAACAGCTAAAGCTTAAGATTTGAAAATACACTTGTGTATAATTTTATGGTTTTGCCACTACATTCTACATATCTTCCCCTTCTCAATTCAGTACAGAAGCAAGCATGTGTAGAAATCCCTTTATCAATATAGTGAACTTTGAAAAACAATCTAAAAGAAACAAGTTACAACATAATAAACTAGTTTGAAATAAAAATCAAGATGTTGGATATAGATAATGTGAATTTTAGAGAAAACATTCTGATGTCTTATTGGTAGGTGTCTGAAGGTTATAATGATTCTATATGAACCAGTAAAAAAAGACACAGTCATACTTCTCTCATTGTTGCTGAATGCACCACGTATGGATCCACCCAATCGCACCTCTCCATCTTGCAAGTCTTCTAGCACGAGCTCCCTCACAGGAATTGGCTGCCGATACAGCTGGTACCAGAGCTGTTCATTATGGGTAACAGCTCGAGTAATCACCAACACTTCTTCAAAAAGGAAGACGTGCAGTTTCTGTTAAAAATTAATAAATTGTAAAGCATTATTCCTGTTTTAGAACATCATTAAACCAAATTTATTTAAACTCTACTATGTTATAACCTTGTGTTTTCAACACTTAAAATAAGGATTCCTCTCTTCCCACTATTTAAAAGTCTTAAGGTGCAACAGCATATAAGTATGTAAATACAACAATGTAAAATCTTGTAAAGTTATTTTTCCTGTCCTCTTCTCAGTTTCTTATGTCATGATCCTAATTAACCTTTTAGTGTTAAGGCCTTGAAATGTGCATGACATTTCAAAGCTCTCTCTACCACAGCATGCTTCTAAGCATTCTTCTTTCTGCCATCTACTTTAACTTTTCTGTACTGCCCGTGTTACTAAAAACCAGGCAATCTTATTCATCCAAATATTTTCAATGAAAAATTACGAGTAATCTTTTTTAGAATTCACGTGCTCTTCACAATTAGCTTCACCACAGCCCTTTGAAGCTCATCAAATTAGTTTTGCACCTATGTGCCACAAGTCTCCTGTTATCATCTTTAAATTATGTTCCCCCTCACATTTTGCAATCTCCAGTGGCTTCCAATAATAAACAAACTGAAATTTTAAATTTATTTCACTTGATATCATGTCTTGAAATGCATTGCTGTAATGCAAAATGAAGATATCTTTAAAAACTATTTATGACAGAATATTTATTCCTTACCACTCCCCTGTTGTTCTTCAGTTCACCATGACAACATACAACACGTGAATTATCAATCAGTGAATCCCTTTGGCCTTCTTCAAGATAAATAAGTCTCTCTTTGTAATACTGGCATTCAGATTCACCAGTCTTTATGTTGATTTCAGCCACTATGCCCTGAATTATATTTATCTATGGAAAAACAATGAAAACACATGACCTTTACTTACACAGTACTGCAGCATACAAAGACACTTTAGTTTTGCTTTACCACTGTTTCTGACAATGGCTTAAAAATCTGGTATTTATCTCTTTACATCAAACCTAAGTAAGCAGAATTAAGATAAACAGATGTAAGCAATATAATTGGAGATGTATTTTTGTCAGCTGAAATGTGACAATAAATGACACAGGACAAATAACTTGCCTTAATATTTCTTTAAAATAGATTATAATTCTCTGAAAACTGCTGCATCATATCAGAGAACAAGAAATAGAAGAACTATCAAGATCCATGGAATTTAAACTATTTTTAAAAAGATAACTACCAGACATTATGTAGAAAAGCAAACCTTAGAAATAAGCAGAATTCTTTGAGATATTTATGGGTTTTGATGAAGATGCACAAGGGGAAAACGTACCTTATAGGTTACATCTAAATACGAGTATGAATTTTAACCACAGTTGTTCAATTTTACAACAGAGAAGTTAAGCTGGGCAAGGGATTTGGGGAAGGAATAGCAGAACAGTAGTGGTCAGGTGCATGTGTTTTGAAACATGTACTTTCCAAAAAAAGCAGACCTGTCATTTCTCATCAAATAAATACTAAAATGTACAAAATATTCAAGTCTAGGCAAATTTTGTCCTCAAAATATTAATGAAATGTACTCATATTTATATATATATATATATATGGGAAAGAATAGAAATTTTATAAACCTTTCAGAGTATCTGAATCAGATCCCTTTCTATTAAGAATAAAGTTTTAAAGCCTTGGATTTATCCCGCTGGTTTTACTTCAGAAAGTGCAGCACTATTGCATATAAAAAACAGAATGAAGGCAAATTGCAGCTACATTCCTGCAGATGATAATTAATCTAGATTCAGAGATGATGTAAGGTCTCGAGCCAGGGAACAAAACTTATCTAAATGATCTAAAACCTGAAAAGACATCTCCACAATACCCAACTTAGATGAGAATGGAAAACATCATTGAAAGGTAAATACAAATAAAATGGACAAGGATCAGACAAAAGCTGTGGAAAACACCTCCCATCCCCCCCTTTTTTTTGGTATTACTTTGCTACTGAAATAGGATTTAACAAGGGAGCAAGGCTAAATATTTCACGTGTTCGTTTTGTCTGTTCATATAAGTACCAGCATTTCCATATTTTGGGTAGTGTCCCTTAATTCATTAATAAGCTAAAAGTGCTATAATTACCTAAAAAAAAAAAACCAAACCAAACAGTAACTCACAGCTTCTTCAAGATGCTGCTGATCTGGATGATCGTTTGGTGTGTGTCTCAAAATCTCTCTGAGTAGTAATGGGTATTTAACCAAACGGCTTCTTGGGATGTCAAGGAAATTCCAAAGGTCCAGCTTGCGACTGAAAGGAGACTCTAAGCAGCGCTGTAGGAAATCTTGCACTCTGTGATCTTGTTTCTTGTGATCCAACAAAGCTTTGGCTGCTACTTGATTGCTGCAGTAGCTATCATAGGAGTTTAGACATGGAAGCTGAGGAAAGGAATAAATTATTCTGCAGCTGCAACAAAGCAGTTTGCTACATAGAAAGTTTCAAGTGATTCAGGACATCAGAACTTAATGCTGAGAGTCTTTTAGCTGGAGATTTATCCACAATTTATTGATTATAATGTTTGCAACATATGTAAGGTTTACAAGGGTTCTCTAACCACCTTGTTCATCATTTAAATAATTTAGAAGTACTAGCTCATCTCTCAGTTCCTAGAGATCTCCAATATTATTCCAAAGCATTAAAAATATCTAAAAACTTTAAAAACAACATCCTAGTCTAAATCTTTTTATGGAAAATCCCTGAAAAGATAAAATATTCTATTATATCTCTATATAGTTGTCTTACCTTTTAAAAATACTGAATATATTTTTGACATGTTATGCTAGATATGGAAAGGAAATTGTCTGATAAAAACTATGTTGCAGCTCCAAACTGAAGTCCCAAAACTGATTAAGAACTTTGCCTTACCCAGCCCACAAGGATATGGCCAACATGTTCTGTTGATCCATCAGGTTTCCTGACTTCTTGAAGTCGCCTCAGAAGATCTGATCATGATTAAAAAAAAGGAGATAAACTTCACTTAATGAACCAGATGACTGTAAATCTATGTGCAATAGTAACACAGACAAAGACTGTTTTGAGTGTTACCTTCATGTAGAGGAATTAGAGAGTCCAATGTTCCAAAAATTTGGTTCAACTCTCGCTCTGTCATTATAGAAAGTTTAAGCATTGGGTCATGGTAAGCCTGAAAAGAAAAAAAGGGAGTTCTGTAATTAATATATTGGTAGCTGAAAAATTAGTAATAGTATTTAAAGCTCCCTGTAAGTAAAAACAGACTAATTGTTGAGAATATTTTAAAGTTTTGTAACATATTTTAAACTATCAATTTCATATTAAAAAAAAAATTAAGGTAGGACATGTGTTTCAGAAAGAATGGGAAAATAGAAAATGGTTTGCGTTTTTTTGCCTCTTACTGTCTTAGCATAAAAGCAAGGATTATTTTTATATGAAGTTATATGAAAAGTTATATGAACCAATTAATACTGTTTGATGTGGTGAGTTTTTCTGTTTTGTTTTAAATACCTTTTTTGCTAACTTCAGATCTTCTATCAAGTCTTCTTCTCCCTGAGAAAGTTCAAAGATAGCCTGCAAAAAGAGACACAATTATTATAAAATGTCTTTATTTAATCTGTACTCAACTTGTTGAGTTGATGTTATATTCTGTCTTAATACCATTTAGCAGAATTTCTCTGCCACCTCTAATTGCAGAAATCAAATAAGACTTTATTTCATAGCTACAGAATCATGCGCAGCTATTTTTAAAAACACAGCTGTATCAGATTGCTCATAAAATGCTTATCTGAAATAACCACAGAATTAATTTTTTTTTCAAACAGATGTGTTTCCAGGTGGGGGAGCTGTTTTCAGTGTGATATTCTGACTCAACTATATCTGAACTGTTTATACAACTACTTGCACAGGAGTTTGTTGTGTTCCATTTTAACACATGCAGTGGTAAAAGTTCCAGGTGCTCTAGGAAGTAAAGGGCAGATCTTTTTAGAATATTTCTTTGGTGAGCACTTTATTTTGGAACCAGTTCATTTTTTTTGTTATGAAGGCTGAGCTCTACTTATCTGTCTGCTGACAGCAGTTGCTTCTCCTGAATCACATATGAGACTTGAAAAGCCGGTAGATTAAAAATAACCACCACCCTAATACACAGGCTTATCAAAATACTATCGTACCTACTTATTACGTAATTTCATTCTGAACTGGGGTACAGTAAAAGTTAACAATATTTTGGTCAGTTACAATTACTAACTTTACAATCAAGGCACTCAACCTGCATCAATCATGGGAGAACATCTTCAGCTGGTGCAGAGTCTCCCAGCTTGATAATGTGCATACATGGAAGGCTTGCCATAGTGCGAGTTAACTGACAGTGCACGCACAGAGGTGGTTCAGTGTTCTGATGAGGCAGGCAGTACAATGACCAATATAAAGCACAATCCTTACGCAAAACCTCCTGGAATACAGCTCTTTTATTTGGGCTCTATGGATGGGTCCTGGCTTCTGCCCCAAGACAGAAATGACTGTTACACTATGCAAACAGCTTCTACAGCTTTTTTTTCAATAAGTTGCCTTTGAAGTTCTCAGTTTTAAAAGTTATTTCCTGTAAATTCTTGTACAATGTTAAAATCCACACAAGAAATGCTTGATGTTACTGTTGTTTGATTTATGACTCAGTCTCTGAAGCATTCTCAGACAATATTGTTATAAACTTTCTTGACACTAAGAATTTCTTTAGGAAAAAAAAAAATCTTGATTCTGCAGGAGCTCTGTCACTGGCTATAACATGAACTATTTAGAATTTGTCATGTACAACACATTAAATCCACTGACAAACTCTTTTTTCACTTTGGAAGATACATGTTTTTATCAATATTTCATCTTCCTAGCACTGAAAACTTCCTCAAGACATTATTTTCCAACAAGGGAAATGATTATGCACTTCTGTGCATACATATCACTTGATGAATACCTGTTCCTGAAATAGCAGGTTCATCCATAATACTAGAACAACAAAATGAAACATCAAAATATCAACCATCACTGCAGAAAATGTCCCACAGAACATGTACACAAATGCAGCCAATTACAGTACAATGTATCTTAAGGAAATATGATGTGCTGATTTTAAAAAAAGGAATATATTCACCTAACATAGCTTGAATTAAAAAGACTAAGGACTGAATTCTGCTGCTAGGGGAGGTGGTGTCATTCTGTTTCATTTCAGGAAAGCTTCAAGTGCTATCCTAATGCCTCCTAGCATTCCTCAACTCCATGCTTTAAAGATTACTTTTGAACATGAAATGTACAGTAAAAAAAAATAAATACCTCTTGACGCTTGATTTCTTTAGATGTAAGCATATGATTGACACAAACATCAAAGGTCTCACTCCAGAGTTTGCTGTCTCTCCGCTTTGTGTTAGCGGGAGGCACATTTCGAGACCATGGTCGTGGACTGAACAGATCTGGGCGACTGTCACTACGGAAACTGATGGAACGCTAGGAATAGATAGAAGAATAGTTTTTATGGTTAGAATAGTTTCACATTACACATTTTTCTAAGGAGTTTATATACGTAGTTTAGTACAACAAACAAACGTTATCTAATTAGCTTTTAATGTGACTTAATAGCAATATTTAGTACTGAGAATGTAAGAGAAATTACTTTAATACATCTTTATGGAAGGCCAGTACTTCCATTCTTGCAGTGAACTATGTCCATGTCTGGTTCTCAACATGTTTAAAACTGTACAGTGCATTCATATATCACGCAAAAAGAATGAACTCCAGGGATAATGGTAGAATGGTCCAACACACTAACATAACGGATCATATACAATGTTTCAATTCAGTAAACAGCCAGGAATTAGTCATGTATTACATGTATCTGCCCCATTAGATGCCCAATACTTACAAATTTAGAAATAATGCAAATTTTAGAGACAAAACTAGTATGAAAACTTTTTTGGGTTCATTTTGGAATAATGATTCAATTGTTACATAAAAATTCTGGGAAGCTAGGACAGCTAAATGTGGTTGATAAACTCATCTTGCATATCAACTGAAGAAGAATAGAATTCTTGGGTTTTGTTTATTTTTTGGGGACGGAATTGTTCAAAGATGTCTGTACTGAGAAACAATAGGTCCCCCCTCAAGGATATCAGATGAAAATGTGCGTTACATCAAATACATATTCATGGCTGAAGAAAATGTTTTCTCAATTGGGCAGAAAGAGGGTTCATAAAGTGAGACTGCCCTTCAAAACCTTTCCTCTTACCTTAGGAAGTGTCTTGCTACCTGATGATAATACTTTCTTTTTTTTTTTTTTGTAAACTGTCAGAATCATGAAAGATTTTCTTGGTATAATCATTCCAGATATGTCCATAAGCAGGATTAAATATCTAGTGCCATAATGCTCTAACTTACCAAACTGGTTTTGATAATGAAGAAATGCTAATATAGATAATGGTAACATCCTGCCTCTTCAGATGTATAATGAGATCAAAACTAATTCACACAGAAAGGTGCGAAATAGATATCTGACTGAAAAGAGAACAATCACATGATTGTTAAGGAAAAGGTATGTCAATATTCAGATTTTAATGTTTATGACAAGCAACAAGCCAAATTCTTTCCACACTACTTGCTTCTACTTATTTCTTAACATTTGAAGAAACGTGTTAAACAATCAGTGCTAGCAAATAGCAAATTGTGAAATACCAGTACTGCGTTCTACTATTCTAGAATCTTTATATTTCTGGACCCTTTAAGCTCTGATGATGCGGACCAGCATCTCTGTATCTATTACGTGGTCTGGTCGTAAACTTCAATTTTAAAAAGTCCAATTTTAAGAGACTTGAGAGTTCTATTTGCCTGCAGACTCTTAGAGTTCAGGCTACAGATGGATACTTTATACTCTCATTGTGCTATTTTGAAAAGATTCCTTTCTTGCTTCATTAAAATTAGAGGCTTCTTCTTGAGGTCCTACCTCCGAAATGCCTCAAGTATTTCACATTGTTGAAATACTCTACATTTTTGTTGTTATTTAAAACCTCCCTTACATAACACAATTGTCTCAATTGCCTGGGGTAAGAATATGCAAAACAAATAAATTCTCTTCATTTCCAGGTTGAAAGTAGTATATACAAAATACAGTATTTGAAATTCTCCTCTGAAGATAAGGGCCGATGAAATGCAAACAGTGCCTACAAATACAGTATGTTTTTAAAATATCGGAATACGTATTATATAAATAAAAACTGTGTCTTTTAACAGAAGCCATTTTGAGCCCTACTTGGAAATTACAAAACCCCTAAAAATAAATCCACACACATATATACATACCAACCTGCCAAAAGTTTGCAAGTCAGGTGCTAGTCTTCCTTCAAGAGTTAAGAAGATAAAGAAACACACGTGAAAATACATGCTTAATTTACACTTGTTATAATGATGTATCATAGAACCTGTTATTTTCACATGCAAATGGAAAGATAAAGTAAAAGAGGCAGGTGTGTTGCATCCACAAATCATCAACCATGAGAATTCAGCCAAGCAGAACAGTTGTCATTCCATGACCCAATGCAGAATGCCCCTTTCCATGCATTCCCATATGCATCCTCCAGTATATAGCTCCTTTTTTCTGGTGGTGTTTTCCTAAAGGAATGTTTTCTGTTGAGTGAAGGAAGTGCTTATAATGAAAAGCACCAGACAGAATGATTTTTAAAGTGCCTTGATCGTGAAACCTTTTAACAAGTCATATAACATGTTATAAAATGGCATGCACCTGTAAGAGCAAACTGAACTTACATACAGTGTTTGGAAAAAAGCAAGCTTTCACATCCACTGATAGTAATGTTTCCTTACACTGCAGGAAAATGCTTGATTCTATTCTCTACAACCGTGTACTGTCCTCCACTGGGTAGAAGGGGTACAAAAGGTCTAAGAGACTCAAAGGAAACCAAACTCCCCAAAATCCTGCTTGCATGCTTAGCATCTTTGCTACTTGGACACAGTAAGTATGTATTTAATTGCTTTTGCTCATACATCAGTCTTTTAATTAATTATACAAAGTGTACCTTGATTAATATTATCAAGGACCATTGGATCGATAGCATTTATTAGCGGAAAGGGACAGAAATGTTTTGAGGTGTTATTTAACAATGAGGACAAGTTTCACTTCAAGAGCAAGCGGTTTCTTTGTGTGGCATGTTTCCTTCTTTTATACACTAACACAGCAAAGGCAAAAACCACTGACTGACTTCTTGTCCTTGTACACTGAAATCTAGTTAGGCCAGAATCACATTCAAGCTTATTTTAACATATTATCTTCTCCTTTACATACATGTTGCAGAAATTGTCTCGTAAAACTATGAAGAGACAAACTAAAACATCACCAGGGAAATACTATTTAATGCTAAAATTAATGCTTTGTCACTTGAGAGTCAAACATACTTGCATCATCAATACTGTAACAGACAACAAAAGAAATAAGATGTAAACCTGATATACAAGCCTAATTTAAAAATCCCCAAATAAACAATGATTTATTTCAATAAAACTCTTTGAATAGTTTAAGATAAATGTACATCAGTTTAATCATCTCAGTTCTACAACTTTACCTATTTTCTTGCAAATAAACAGACTTATTTCAGTTCAGTTTAGAGCCCTAAACTGAAGTTCTGCCAGAAATTTTTAAAACCAAGTTGAAATGTGCTCTGATGGTATCTTTGGTTGGTACTCGCTATGAAGGGGAAAAAAAAAGTAGTCATCTGATAGAATCCTATGAAGGAACTGTAGGAATGTCAAAACAGCATTTCCACGTACTCCAGTCTTAAAAATATTTTCCTGGTTTCTGGTTTCCTTAAAAATCCTGTCCAGTATACCAGAAAAAAATTATGTCCATCTGGGATTATTAAAATTGTCATATAATTCCAAAAACTAAAGGAACTGTGGAAGAATCCAGCCACAACCCCTGATTTTGTTTACTGTCTTTATCTGATGGCAGTAGCTTTCACTGGCTGTTGCAGGACTGTTACTATGAAGGGTCTATGTGTTACCGATGCTAATTCATGCAATTAAAAAAACTTAATTTCAGCTGCAGTAAAGCAAACAGTTTCATGTACTGGGAAAAGGGCACTGCAGATCAAAGTCCTGGCATTCAGAACCGATGTTAAAAAGACTTCTCTTCTTAAGGATTTTTAGAAATTTCTAATGTTCTAAGATAGATAAAAATAATTTGGACTCCCTACTTAAATTCAAGACACACTGATGAAAACTGAAGTTGCAGAGGAAGCTAGCCAGACTTTAATTTCTCTCTTCAGCATCAGCTGGAGTTCTTTTTCTGATCCTATTTTCAGCCTAACAGCTGTGAATAAGACCAAGCAGAAACAAGCAGATCATCATAATCATTAATTTAGCTTGATGCAGACTGAAAATGCAGCTATGAAATTAAGTGGGTTTCCAGGTGGATAAACAAATAATACCTGCTTAGCATTTGGTATCCTGCAGATATACAGACTCTGTCAGAGATGAGGCTAATAGCATTATTTCAGTCAGTTAGTCTACAGTGCTCTATGTGACAGAAAAAGAGTGACTACAAATAGTAAAAAAAACCCCAAACCACCAAACAGAAAGCAAGCTAGAAAGACTTGATGTGTTTTGTTACTTGGTATCCTTGTGGAAAAGTATTGACAATAATGTGTAAAATACACAAAACATGAAAAGTTGCTAAGAACATATCTTAAAAGACACTACATAGATCTTAGACAGAGAGGTATTTCTCTCCAACCTCCATGCAGGAAGTCCATTAATATAAAGTGGAAGTTACAGGTACAGAGGTAAGGAAAATTAAAGTTTTTTCTTCCTCTTACATGTATCTTCCATTCGAAAATATGATATAAGAAGGCTTGTTTGAAATGACATAAAGGAAACTCAGAGTTTTCTAATTCCTTTTATTGATTAGGTTGGAGTGGTCTTTTTGGGTGGATGTTCTGTTGGCTTTGTTTAGGGTTTTTTTCCAGGTGAGAAGTTGTTTGTTTTGGATGTTGTGGTGATGATAGTAGTTTTCTTCATTTTATAGATACGTAACATCTAGCAGCAATGCAAGAAGACACGGGTTTTGACTGAAATGACTTAACAATAAAGATACATAAAAGTTTATCCAGTAAAAAAAAAATTTAAAAAATCAACACTTCTTTCTTTTTAACAGGTATTACACATGAAATAAAATCCTGCTTTATACTCTCCCACAAGGCACAGTGACAGCTGTGTCAATACCTAATAACGTAAAAAAGCTATACATGCTTTCCAGAATGTTTCTAAGTAATTCCAAATGGAGCACCTGAGCACAAGAAGGTCAGTCTGTTTTTTCCCCCTGTTCTGTTGTTGCTGACTAAATCAGATAAGAAGTCAATTTACAGCCAGCCATGAAGGCAGTTTTGAGAGACATCACCAGCATTCATCACTTGGAAATGGATTCAGACCTAGGATCTGGAGAACATACAGGTTCATTTCTCATGGAAGCTCCTTCAAGCATGCAGTTACTTAGAGGAGACGGTATGAATAACATCACTGTTTAATCTGCTTAGAAGCAGACAGTTAATTAAAATATATTTTATAATCAGTATGAACAGTGCAAGACAGAAATGCTCACAACAGTAGGACTTGCAATAAAGCTACTGTTTTCTATTTTTGTCAGAATTTGCCCTGAAACACATTTATGTGGCTCTCATCTTGGGAAGCTACTACATGCATGAAAGGACAGTTTGTCTCAGATAGTCTCAACCAAACTTTATTAAATACACTATTGTACTGGACGACCCAGTCCCAAAGGCATCATTCAGTACAGAATGATAGCGTAGGTACTTAAACGAGGACAACAGCTGTCTAAGGCTGTGAAAAGGGAAGCGCCGTGCTCAGAAGCAGTTTAGCCAAAAATTAATTCACTTTCCACACTCCTCACAACTGGAACTAATGTAGTCCTTTCAGAGTCAGGCTAATTTTTTCCTGGAGGCAGACTATGGAGGAGATTTATACACCTGAGGGAATACAGGCATCTCTGCTCTAGTCACGCTATAAGACACCTTCTGGATCAAACCCAGACTGAGGGAGTTCAGCCATTTTGCCTTTCCTCCAACCCCACACGTCTGGCTTTTGTATGCAGATGTCTGCACTTAGGAGCTGAGCACAGGAAAACCAGTGTTAAAGAAACCCCATAATATCTGTTCTCTAGATAACTACCACAACAGAAAAATGGGGGGTTGAGGTTTGTTTTGTTTTGTTTTCCCCATTTCTTTTATTTATTTGTCATAAGACTCCTAGCTCTAAGGTTTTATCTCTTTCCTCCTCAGATTAACAGATAACTTCAGTAATGCTCTAGTTAAGCTAAGTTTGATTAAGTAACATTTTTAATACATTCAGGATATTTTTATATTTCCTCTCAACACAGAAATGAGGCTTGTTAAATTATTTTCTTCAGATCTTACACATGCTTTCTTACATAAACTGTTTTAAAGGGGAAACAGTCTGGCCTTCTAGGCCAGATCCACAGCAGTATTGCTGCTCCCAACTGTTTGTCATTCACAAGAACCATTAGGAGTTGAGCACCTAAACATTTTGCAGTTTCTAGGTCTGAAGGCACAAATACTAAAGTTCTATTAATCTCTAAGTATGTTAAATATTACACACCTAATGTACAATATAGAAACTGCAACTACAAAATTATTTCATTTCTAAACTGCATTTAAAATTTGCTTGCCCTTTATTAGTCTTCATCATCAGCTTTGGAAAATGATTTTTTTCCAATTGTTCACTAACTCTTTTGTTTAGGCAAGGTCAAAGTTCACTCTGCAGAAGGAAATTTAGCAATCCTACATGACTAACTGTACCAAAAATAACATTTTCAAAGAAACCAACCAAAATTAATGGAAAGTGTCATGGAAAATTCTGTTCATAAAATTTAAAAAGCAATTGTAATCCTTTAGTATAACAACTTTTAATAAAAACTGTACTGTACATACAGGTGCAATACTTTTCTTACTGGTAATTAAAACCCATCAATTATCTGACTAGAGAAGTGGAGTTTTTTGAGGTGGGAGTTTTTAAGTTGAGTGACTGTAGTTATGACTACAAAAGTTATGACTGTAAAGCCTAAACCCGTCTGGCACATGACAATGGTGTGTGTGCGCGCATACGTGCAGTTCACGTTCCCATGCTGACCCCAGGAGAGACTGGGAGTGTGCAGGCATTCCCCTTTCAGACACGCGCTGACTGGGATTACCTGGAGCGTCTAACCGCTTCAGTGGAGTGGCCCGGACAGGAGGAATGAGACTCGCTAGTGAGGTAACTCTGGAAAGCGGCTTGACCCGTTTGTTGCTGGGCTCCTGGAGCAGGGGGAGGAGGACAAGGGAAAGGAAAAAAAATTGAGGAAGTGTGAGCATAACCAGATAAACGTTGCTACCAGCTTTGCTGCTTTTCCTAAGAAAGCATTTGTAAAAAGCAAGTTTGTAAACCTGGTAGATAATTAGGGTAGTAAATAAACAATAGCAGTTTTTAAACATTGACAATGACAGATTACTCTTGGCTTGTGCCTACACATCCTGGAAACAGCTGAAAAATGTAATCATGGAGAAGCTGGCATCGCTGGGAGCAGGGTAAGGGAAGAAGGTAAAGAAAGACTAAATCATTTTAATATATGAACTCATTCTTAAAAGAGATCTTTTCAGCAGTGCTCTGCAGCTAATGCATGTTATGATAATCTTGTCATTGAAAGGAATACTTTCAAATAAAAACAATTCTATGTGTTTTTTGCCTCTGGCAGTGTCAGCATGTGACTCTATTCAGTTAAATGTATTTCATTGCAGAAAATATAATTTTGATAGAAATCTCTAACTGTAATTGTTCTTTGAGTGCATGTTCCTATGAAAATATATATATACAGGAAATCAATAACATGCTTACATATATTTAATTTTTTCATTAAGAAAAAATCTACCATAAAGCAATTAAATGCTTTCTTTTAATATATACTTTTAACAGCACTTATTGTAATACATAACCACTTCAATATAATATGCCAATTGTCCTGCAGATTTTAAAAGAAAAGATGTTAACAGAAATTGTAACACAAGAAAAAAGTTATTATAAATACATATAAATAGAACAATTACCCTTGGCTTCCTAACCTCCATCTGACATTTAATGGATCTTGAACAGCACATGCAAAAGGCAACTTTGGACAGAAAAAGAGCCAAACCTTCGAAGTGAAGTTAAAAAACCCATCCAACATCATATTTCAAAGACATCCTAAAGCAGTTCTTCTTTCTTTTTCAGCCATACTTGTGAAGTTTGTGTAGCCTTGCTATGCCTCCAATTTCCTAGGTATAGCTTTAAGAAAATGAAGCATGCCTATTTTCCTTTTGTTCAGAAGTTCAAATCCTTCTGGAAATAATGCAGATTTGTCATTCTTCCTGATACCAAAAAATAATAAAACTCAGCAGTGATGATCATCATCTGTATTACTGGCATGAAAAATTCTCTTCTGTTAGTACAGCAACAGAGGAAAGGTGAGAAGCAGCTACATATTTAATTTACTTCTCAGCAGGCAGACTTAGAAATCCATAAATGCCGGCTGAGATGAGGGACAAAGTGTTTAACCCTCTAGCAAAAAAAATGTATTCCATCACACATGAAACCTGGCATTAAATAATTTTAGCAGCATAAATCAAGTTGCATCCTTATTTTCACCATTGCACTGCTATTCATATTCCTTCCTTTTCAGCAACCATGTCTTTGACACAGGTTTTTTAAGGAGTATTTTTTTACGTCATTGCAGCACCACTAGCATACTTATCTACAGCATCACCATCCCCCAAAAAAAGAAGAAAAATCTTTGGGATCCCAGTGTAATTCTTCTCTAACTGGTAGCTCAGTCATCAGCTGTTTCTTTTTTATTGTTATTCAGAATGCAAGTCCTGGTGCACAAATAACATCCCATGGCAGAGCCTGCTTGTTATTAATCGCGCTGCACTGCAGTGAAAGGACATGAAGTCCCAGACAGTGTCGGGCAGTGCTGTGCCACCAGCACAGCTTTTACTAGCAGCTCTACCTTGGCAGCAAAGATTACTTAGGCACAAATAATTACAACCCAAAAGTGAAATCTGGAAATCAAGACTGTATGGACTTTCCAGAAGACATGGAGAGAGGGATTAGGATTAATATAAAAGATTTCTCCTTCGTTACTGCTGTACCCTTTCTATTATCTTACAACTTTGCTGCTATGTTTATGTTCTTCGGTCAAAAGACAAACCTCATGCAAAAAAAAAGCACAAATTGGAGCTGTACAATATCACAGACATATTTTGCTTGAAACTTAAATGCTCCTCATAGTTTTACAGATCGTTTCCACACACGTTGTAATCTATTCACAATTTTGCAGTCTTTCAATCTTAACTTATAACAAAACTAAGCCCAGAAGCCTTTGGATAATTTTCCGAGGAGTCTACTGACAGCAAATGAAATCACATAAGAAGTATATCTGTATTTCACTGCATCTCTGCAGCATTTCATTTGAGTGTGTTGCAAAAAACTTGAATGAAACTTCCTGAGTAGTGTTCAAAACTACATAAGGAGTAGTAAATCAGTCTCTCCTTATTTGAATACTTCCAAATCCTGGGTGTGTTACTGCAGCTGAAGTTTATTAATTACTACTAAAAGCCTGCAGGCTAAGCACTGAGACCAGGACCTAATTTGCTCTGCTGTGTGGAGCACATAAACCTCAGGCAGCTGTGAAAACTGATGCACAGCATCAAATAACATTGGAGAAAATCATCCTGAGTAAAAAAGAATGGAAATCACCTTCTTTCTCTTGGAGAGTGAGAGGAAGTGAAAAAAAAAAAAACATGTCTTCATGTCAGACAGCCTAAAGGCTCTCACTGTCTCCTAGCCAAGGATGCCTACAGTTCCAGGGGGAACAGTAGAGCTTCAGCTACCATGAAACATTGAGCTCTTCTAGAACTTCCTGCTGTAAGCCACCAGAGGTCAGCCCTTCTCCTAGCAGTCAAAGGAAAGTTACTGAATGGGTTGTGAAGGTATGTCTGCAGAGCTCCTACTCCTGCCTCAACATCCCATTGTCTTCCTCATGTGGTCTGTCATATTCTGATCTCGCACTGAAAAATCTGAACAGAATTCAAAACAGTTAAAATATGCAGTTGAAATCAGGAATTTGATCTTATTAAAGAGATAAGTATTATTACAGGATTTTCTCCCCTAGAATTATTTAAGATAATTTCACAAGTCTAAGACTGTACAACTTTACCAATTAGGACTATAAGTAAAACTTGTTAATCAGAAGTTCTTTATTATGAATACTTCTAACATGATTTTCACCCTGTATTAGCAACTGTCTGGTAGGTTAAGATACCTAGCTGGAAGTGAAAACTCATACTACTTTAGTGTTGCAGGCATCATCTCCCTCAGAGAAAGCTAACAAGAGCAATCAGCACTGAATCACCTCCTGCACTGAGGAATAACGGAGTTCGTACAGGTAAGGCTGTGTGCAATGAAAATAAAGCACTGCTGGAGCAATTCCAAAGCTGTATGATAGTAATGCTGAAACTTAGACACTCGACCACAGTATTTCTGTTGTGTAGTCTGCATCCATTCTGCCTCGACCTCCCCCTTCATCAATACCCTCATCCTCAAGCTGCGCTGCCTCTCTGAACCAGCACCACAGAGAAGCTGAACAAACTACTGAGGCCAATGATCTGAACAGGGAAAAATTCCAGTCAAGAGCATAAAAAAGTAAGTTTTAAACAGATGGTTGTTTTTCTCACCAAGAGCTCTGTTCTTCACAACCCAAAGATCAAACGGAAAGAGGAGAGTGTGTGAGCTGTTCTGCTTTACCCAGAGATACTGACCAGAATCTGCACTTGCTGCATTCCAGATGCTGCATCCCAAGCCCTTTCAGGTGGGTTGTTTTCTTTTTTGCATGTGTGTGTGTGCGTTTTGTTTTGTTTTTTTAAAGAATAAACTGCTTGCAGCTAGGAATTCCTAGTACATGTGTTCATTACTTTTGTAATTTGTCTCTGAAAAATCCCTGATTTTCCAGAGGTCCCGCAATCATAAAATCTTTTGGTATATGAATCTAATCACACGGGAAGGCAGAACTGTGTGATTCCAGTGCCTATCCAACGTGAAAAGACTCCAGTAAGGACATATTGTCCAGGTAGAATGAACATCAGATTCCAGGTCTGTGTGTCTGAGCGTGCTCAGAAGACTCAAAGTTACCCAAAGGCACCACTCCTCCTGCTCCCCCTCCCAATTCAGGGAATTTAGAAGCAGATGGGATTGAGGTGGGATTTAGTGGCTGGATCCACTTGCAACAACCATCACCTGTCCAGCCTGGGAACTGAGCCAAGTTATAACACAAAAGATTCAGGAGTTATAATGCTTTGCCTGACCTTTTAAAGTTGTTACTATTGGTATTAAAAATAAGTTTTTAAATAAAATGTTAGACTGCATTTTCAGAGTCACGAAGGCTTGCTGAAACAATACAGCCAGTAAGTTAGAAAACAAAAGATCCAGACTACAGTCTGGCAGAGTTTCCAAAATGTGGAGCTGGTATATGTGAACAAGTAATGTTAATCTGACAGGGCTTTAAATTTGATATAAGGCTAAATAAAACTGAGGGAAACATGAGTGCAGGAACTTCAAAGGCTGAACAGTCAAGTGAAGTCAAATTAATACCTGACTAGGCTAGAACAAAGAGCAGATGGCTTTTGGAGGGAGCTGTATATTTGAACTCAAGATGACTTTGGTAACATTTGAATTCAGAGAGCAAAGAATTAAAGTTGGAAATACCATGTATATATGCAGCCTCAAAAAGAGCTCTTGAAACTGTGATAACAGAAGAAAATCTGTGTCTAAAATCTGAATGGTTCTGGAAACCAGACAGTGGACATTTTGAACAACTACTATGTCCTTCCGAGAGAGCATATTTTCATCATATACTTTTATGGGGAATTCACAGGAAGAAAGATTAGATTATTTACAATGGCATTATCACTGATTATCACTGATTTAAGACAGGCAACTATCAGAGAAGAAGTTTCAAAGATGCCATGCCTCACTATTCTTGTAATTTGGCATGAAGGACACAGTGCTCTAGACGGCTTCCTCATTGTAATTTATTCTGTAGGTTATATATATATATATGTACACTTTTATTTCTGTTATCTTCTACATATTAAACTCCAACCTGCTGGTTTAGACAGCTATGTAAGAAAGGAAAGCTCTAGCTTTTAACATATAACTCTCCAAAAATTAAGTCCTCTGCTGTTGGACAGCTGAGAAATGCATCCTGCAAGCAGCTTCAGCTACAGTG